TCCTACAGTCAGCATTGCTTTGATACCACTTTGTAGCACCCGGTTTTAAGAACAAAACCAGATACACACCATATGTGAGCCCAGAAAGTCAAATCTCACATATAGCTACAAATAGGGGTAATATCATAAGACAATGCTTATTACATAGCATATTAGTATAAAGAATACAACTTCAGAGTATAGACAGCGGAAAAGACAACTCTGATCTTCAGGTGAAGACTCCACTTCTACAGGGACAACTGACTGGTTGATCACAAGTCTAATTCCTCCAAACTCTAGCAATCTGGTACCCATCCGGGGTTTTTTCAAAGATTTAAAAAATAAAGCAAGCGTAAGTACATGTCATACTCAACAAATATAACATGGGGTTCATGAGGCTCAAAAGGCTGACACTGGTTTAACTACGATTAGCTTTTAATGAGTCATGATTTTAGCAATTGAGTAGCAACAAGTTTATTCGCAAGCCCATATAAACACATGATCAGGTAAACATGAATAATGAATAGCATAAACAGTAATCATTAGTGAGCATCTTTATCATTAGTATCATCAGTGTTCATCATCTATTCTGTAGGGATTCTAAGGCCGCTCGTGACCGTGAGCACGGCTGATATACCAGTTTTACACTCTGCAGATGTTGTACACTTTCACTGTGAGTCATAATTATCCTTTCACCCAAGGTGATCAACCTCTTGACCCACTACTAAGGAAGGTCGACAGGGTTCACTATGAAGCCTTTCAAAGGTTCGTCTGACAAGTTAGGGCCATTAGATTCACTCGGCAAACAGATATAGGAACTTCCCTGTCGAATGGCACAATTCCATCACTATACACATAAGAGTAGAGGGTGTCCTATACCCGATTCGGCAAGCCATTCTTACGCCAATAAAGGTAACCTCTAACAAGCTAGAAAAGGTCATCATACTGAGCTAAAGCCAGAGCCATATAGCCCTCACAGTTGTACTATAAGTCTTGGATGATCACTTATAGATAAGTCCTTAGGGAGAGAAATATAGAGCACCATAAAAACAACCCAATGCTCTAGCCCCTTGTTCCATGTTGCTAAAAAGCATCTTTTAGTGTTTATTACATATTCCATTAGTCAAGTTACAAGATCATAGCTCTAGTTGAGCACTAGCATCATACTACCTAATGCAATATCCCATAGGTGACAAGGAATCCAAGATGCCAAATAGCTTGGAAAATTACTACGGTTGCCAAGGTAGACACATGCATATGATTACGTTATTAAAGTGAATAGGACAACAAGGATGATCCCATGCTATACTTGCCTTAAACTTAGATCCTTCTTCGAGTCCAAACCTTTAAAGATCTGCTTCTTGATTCACCACGTAAAACTCACCGACTGGACAAGATCATAAAGCACCACACAAGCATCCATACAATCATACATGAAGCAAATATTAGATCTAAATTAGAACAGTACACTAATCATATAAAAATAAGTAAAAAAGTTTGGAACACGATTCTACGCATCGCTACGAACACACAGACGCGAGAGGCACGCTAATCGGAACTACGGTTTGAAAGAAACGGCTACCGAAAGATCTATTCATAAGAGAAAATATAAACCCAAAAGCTTCATGTGTTTTAACTATATAAAAGCATATATAAATTGAATTAAGGCAAATTTAGATTTGAATTACAAAACTAAATTAAAACAAATCATATTTTATTTATAAAATCCAGTTGCATAATTATTATTCAAATTAGAGTTTAAACCATGAAATTCTAGAAGTAGTGACATGATAAGCATTGTTACTAACACGTAGATCTCTTGTAATGAATCTAGCGCAACTTGAACAGGTCAAATCGGAGATAAACGTAGAAGATATGAAATAAACAAGATTCCCTTTATTGAAATAATAGATTAAATCTAACCTCAAATTTTAAATGTTGAAAACATATCTAATAGTAGTATGAACATGTAGATTATGAAATTATGAACCTAACGCAATTTGAACGGGTCGAATCGGAGTTAAAACGGAGAAACTATGAATAAAAGAGTTTTAGTGGCAAAACTCTAAATATTTTGAACTATTTTCGGATTTGAAATAATTAAAAATCAATTTAAAAACAATCTCTGGATCTAGCGTCATTTTTGGAAAAATAGAGGGGTCAAAACATAAAAACTAGGGCATATTTTAATTACTTTTGAACTGCTCAGGACGACGGGTTGATTTCATAAAAACTCGGAGGCTCTTTTGTAAAACGACTGAACCTGGCAGGGTTGACCCGGTCGTTGTCCACGTGGACGTCGCGTGGCAGAAGGGAACTAGGCCAGGGTGGTGAACCGGCCGTGGACCGACAGACGTGGGACTATGGACCAAGTCCACCACTGTGCTCATGGACCGGTTATGAAGGGGTATGGATCGGATCTAATCTGGATCGTTCATCTAAGATCAGATGGATGAGAGGGGACTGGTGAGGCCGGCCGACCGAAACAGGACCGAGCGCGGCGGCGCCATGGCCGGAGGTGGGCTGTGCATGCGGAAAATGACCTACGAGTCACGGTTAACCGAATCGAGAGCACCGGAAGAACAAGGAGATGACGACAAGCTCGGCTAGGTGGTTTACCTCGGTGCGGGGCGGACGGAGGCGACATGGCGCATGGCAAGGCGGACGGCCTCGGTGGCGGCGCTAGGTCTGCGGCGGCTCGGCAGCTCAGCGAGGGTAGCTACAGCTCCGAAGCTTGGGATGGAAGCGGCGGGCACAGGGGCTAGGTATTTATGAGGCAGGGTGGCTTTGGAAGCAAGGCAACGGAGGGGCGTGGCCGCAGCGGAGTCGGGCAACGGTGGTGGAATCCGTCCCGGACATGCACGGGAGGAGAAGGCGCAGCTGACAAGTGGGGCCTGGCTGTCAGCGGGGAGGAAGGAGAGAAGAGGCGGCGCGCTGCGCTTCTGGTCAGGCTGGTCTTGGTCATTTGGGCCGCTAAACGGGCCACTGCGGGAAATAGGAGGTCACATGAGTAAGCGGGAGCCCTGTGAGTAAGCCAGCTGAGCTAGGGCTGCAAGCGAAGCAGCCTACTGGAGGGGAAAGAGCGGGCAAGGCTGGGCCAAGAAATTAAAGGGAAGAGGGAGAGAGGAAGAAATCATTTTCCTTTTTCTTTTCTAATTTCCAAACCACATTTTAAAATGCAAATTCAAATCGATTTGAAGTTTGATTTCAATCACACCATTCAAAAATAATATGCAGCAGCATGAATGCACAATCATGTATGTAATCCTTATAGTTGATTTTATTTTGACAAAAGTTATTATTTTCCTAGATTTGCATGCTCACAAAAATATCCAATCAAACCCAATTCTTCTATTTAAAACAATGCAAATTTTTAGGGTGTTACACTGGTCGATACCTCACCTTAGGAATCTACGTGCCTAAAAATATGTCAAATCCCTGATAGGAGCACATCACAACCTCGCAGGGGTAGGTATCTGACACCCGTATGACGGAGTAGAAGACTGCCCCCTCCTTGGTGTAGCGCAGCTAGCCTACTTTGGCATGGGTCACACTCGGTGCATGATGCTACATGCCAAAGGCTCACGCGCCGGATCCCTCCTCCTCGCAGAAGGAAGGAGCATCGGGCCCACACGTTGGCCTACGCGCCCGTAATGGTGTATAATGGACTCCATGAGAAGGTCGAACTAGGGAAGGGCGGATCATGGAGACTAGCAGTACTGGCCTGTCCTTGCCACTTGCAAAAGCTACAACTGCAACCGCCTGAAGGAGTTGTCAGCCATGACCACCATAGTGGAGCGGGCCGACATCTCCAATGACTCGAAGACCAGGGCAGACTTTGACTTGGTGGCCAAGGAAGGCATCGTCTTGGCAGCCAAGAAGAAGAACCTAGAATGAACTTTTTGTACTCCCCTTGCCCTCCAGAGGTATAAGGCTAGGCAAGGGACCCCGTTGAAGGGATTGGAGCCCTGGGGATAGAACCCTAGATCAGTTTGACCTGCCACTAAAGAACTAGCTCCTCGCTCTCCTACCCCCAATTGTAAACTCTCTCGAACACTCTAACACGAAACTCTCTGCTGGACATAGGGCTTGACACCCGATCTAGGATGGACCCTTTAGTGTATTAATTGATTGTAACAATCGAAGTCCCACACATTGACTACTAATCACTAGTCATGGTTACGAATCCACGACACTAGAAAAGCCAAAACATGTTGTATTTTTTGGAATGGATGGAGTAGTAGGCTAAGGTATTTAGTGGGGTATTCTTTAGAAGTTATAGAAAGCTATAGCGAAATACTCCTATAGTAGAAATTGTTTCATTTTGTGGCTTTTAAAAGAGAATATAAAAATTCATAACCGGTTATGTATATAAACATGGAACTAAGGAAAATTCATAAACACAAACAGTCAAATGCATGTATAGGGTTCCAAGACTGTATGGCTTTAAACAACATTTATAGTCACCCAAAATTTAGCAATAAACAACTCAAGAATTTCTCAATGATTCATTACATCTACAACGATGAGGCATAGATCATATTAGTTATCTAGAGTAGCGAACGACTACCAAGGTTAGCGGCACTAAAAATTTTTATGGCTAAAAGCGGAGCTAAAATACCCTTAGACGCAATAGCAGAACAACTGGCAATATCATAGTGGCATGTCCTTTGAGTAAATGTGAAAAAGTTATAGTGATACCATAGCAGCTAATTAATAAAACCATGAATTCTAATGCAATGTGTAGAGCTCACGAAAAAAGTTATTGTCCCCACTTATATCTATTCTCTATTGTGTGCTTTATATACGTATGCTTGTGCTTACATCAGTATCGATCGAGAAATTTGTTGACCATCGTCACCGTGAGCAACTTATTTTTTTAGAGTGGCAACAGTAAATTTCCAGTTTGACCTATGGCCTAAAAAAAAAAAAAAATGATTAATGAAATTGCCGTTCATGGTCGCTCTGTCTAAAAGACTGACGAGGGTTTTGACCGGAATCCCAAAACCCAATGCTCACATATGGCCTGCCACAGCCCATTGCTGCTTCTCCGCCGCCGGCGCGGCATCCCCACCCCCTCGTCCCTCCTCGTCCTCCTCCGCCACCGCCCCTTCGCCTCCTCTCCCTCTCCACCCTCACCCCCCTCGTCCGCCTCCTCTAAGCCCCCCGCCCTCTCGGCCCGCCTGTCCTTCGTCTTCGACCAGCTCGACGCCCTCGACCGCTCCCGCTCCTCCGAGCTCTCGGCCCGCGACGCCGCCCTCCGCCGCATCCAGTCCTGGCGCCGCCCCGCGCCGCCGCCGCTGGATGCAGAGCCGGGCCCGGAGCCGGAGCCGGAGCTGGATGGTCAGAAGGAAGCTGCTCCGGCGGCGGCATCTGCCGATGAGGTGGGGAGGATGAGCATGGAGGAGATGCTGCGGAGGGAGGTGGAACTGGTGCACCCCTGGCCCGAATGGATCGAACTGATGGAGCGGCTTGCTCAGCAGAGGTACTTCGACCTTGGCCGGGCCTGTGGTGCCGATGAGAGCTCCATGGCTGCCGCGGTGCCCTTGGACCTCTCAGAGGTCAGTGAGGAGGCGGGGTTCGACTTCTCCAGAGACTGGACTACTGTCAAGAACGCCTGCATGAACTTCGGCCGAGACCGGTTCGACATCCTCAAGTATGGTTATTGCTCCTGAGGTTGAATTTAGTTCTTTTTTTAATTACACGATATGGGTTTCGAATTCGTTAGGTTGCTGTAGCCAGAATTTTTTTGCTAGTGTCATGGTCAAACACAGGGTCTAAAAGTTAAAAGTACTCTCTCGGCCAGAAAAAGAATGCAATTCTAGTACAGTACCAAGTTAAAGCATCTTGAGTTTGGCTAACTATATGTAAAAAAATATCAATATTTATGATATCAAATAAGTATCATTATATTTGTCATGAGATATGTTTTCATAGTTGTCAAGGGCCTCGTGCCCTAGGGTAGCTGGGCCTCAACTACGGAGTTCGTAGTCTCCTGCCGTTGTCGTTTAGGGCTGAGGTTTTGCCCCTCGGCTTACTAGGCTTAGTTGGTGGAAGAAGAGAGGAAGATTAGATGAATAATATCTTGCCTATCCTCCAATTCTGGATTATAAGGACTCTTATAGGCTGTAGCCTTGGCATACTCTAACAAATCACTCCTAAATTATAGGATCTCTTTCCTTTATTCTATCAACTTCCTAAACCGACACCTGGCTGGCGCCTGGCGTGGTGACCGCGGCTGCCCTGTCGCCTAGACGCGCTGCTGCCCGCCTGGCATCCCGGGCCCTTCTATGCCTGGTATATGTGTGTCCCCACATGACATCTCTCCCCCCCTCGAGGAGCAGCTCGTCCTCGAGCTGGAAGGCCGGATACTTGGCGACGAACGGCTCCACATCTTCCCATGTAGCCGAGGCAGGCGACTCCCCTTTCCACTGCACCAGGACCTGGCGCACACCACGTGCCAGGCGCGACCGGACGGCACGTTCCGGCTCTGGAATAGCAGCACCTTGGTGAATAGGTGGCAACGACGGTGGAGCATCCGGCGGTTGTCCGATGAACTTTTTGAGGAGGCCGATGTGGAAGACATCGTGGAGACGAGCCCCAGGAGGAAGAGTCAGGCGGACGGCGACCTCATTGATTAGCTCCGTGACGCGGTAGGGGCCGAAGTACCGAGGCTTGAGCTTGCCGGTGACCGTCTGGGGTAGTGACGCAGCCGCGCGCTGGCGAAGTCGGAGCAGTGCCCAGTCTCCGACCTGATACGACACGTCGCGGTGCGTCTTGTCGTAGTGCTTCTTCTGTAGCGCCTGAGCCTGTTCAAGGCGATAATGAATATCCGCCAGGAACTCCTCGTGCTCCTCCATGCTCTTGGCGACGGCGGCCACTCGCGTGTCCCCCGGTTCATAAGACCGGATGGATGGTGGGTCACGCCCGTAAACGACGCGGAACGGCGTGTTCCGCAGCGAAGTCTGGTAAGCGGTGTTGAAGACGAACTCCGCCCACGGAAGCCATCGCAGCCACTGGCGCGGCCGATCCCCAGTGAGGCAGCGCAGGTACATTATGATGACGCGGTTGGCGGCCTTCGATTGCCCATCCGACTGGGGGTGGAAGGCGGTGGTCATGTGCAGCTTGGTGCCCATCAGACGCATGAGCTCTCGCCAGAACGCTGAGGTGAAGACCGGATCACGGTCGGACACCATAGACTGGGGAACACCGTGTAGACGGACGATGTCGGCGAAGAATGCTTGGGCGACGGACTCGGCGGAGTACGGATGTGCCAAAGGAATGAAGTGGCAGTACTTGCTGAATCTGTCCACCACCGTCAGGATGACCGACTTGCCCCGAACACGAGGCAGAGCTTCGACGAAGTCAAGGGCGATGTCCGTCCAGCCCCCCTGCGGCACGGGCAGCGGCAGGAGGAGCCCAGCTGGGTGCAAGTGCTCCGACTTGTACCTCTGTCAAGTGGTGCAAGCACGCACAAAATCCTGCACGAGCTGCTTCATGTTAGGAAAATGGAAGTCGCGGCGCAGTCTGTGCAGCGTGCGCTGGACTCCTTCATGTCCATCCTCATGGACAGCGGCCACGATCTCCTGGGCGAGGGGGGACGCCGGGGGGATGTACAGGCTCCCGGTGAACTGCACCATGTTGTCGACGACCGTCCACTGTGCCCCGTGGGAGCCCGCGCGCACTTCGTCTTGGATAGCGACGAGGGCTGGGTCGGTGAGCTGTGCCTGGCGGAGACGTGTGATGAAGTCGAAGCGAGGGGCGGACAGGGCCAGTTTGGACCCTTCGTCGTCCGTGTCGCGGCGCGAGAGAGCGTCGGCCACCGCGTTCGCCGTCCCGGGCTTGTACTCGACGGAGAAGTCAAAACCCAAAAGCTTCCCCACCCAGTGGTGTTGGGGGATGGTCGCGAGCCGCTGATCGAGCAAGTACTTGAGGCTGTAATGGTCCGTCTTGACGAGGAAGCGGCGGCCCCACAGGTACGGACGCCAGTGTCGGATGGCGTGGACGAGGCCGATGAGCTCCCGCTCATAAGCGGCGAGGGCGCGATGGCGGGGCGCGACGGAGCGGCTGAAGAACGCCACCGGGTGGCCGTCCTGAACGAGCACCGCGTCGAACCCGTGCGACGAGGCGTCGCACTCGACGACGAACGTCTTGGCAAAGTCCGGCATGGCGAGGACTGGACCCGTGGTGACCGCGATCTTGAGCGCTTCGAACACCGCTGCCGCCTCCTCATTCCAGGAGAAACCGTCCTTTTTGAGGGCTGTGAGTGGCGCAACGATAGTGCCGTAGTTGTGGACGAATTTGCGGTAGTACCCCGCCAAGCCGAGGAAGCCCCGCACCGCCCGCGCCGAGCGAGGTACTGGCCAGTCGTGAATGGCCTGCACCTTGGCCGGATCCATGGCGACGCCTGCCTTCGAGATGACGTGGCCGAGGTACGCGACAGAGGCGACGCCGAAGGCGCACTTGGCGCGCTTGACGAAGAGCTGGTGGCGCCGAAGCTCGGAGAAGACTACGCGGAGGTGTCGAAGATGATCCGCCCATGTGTTGCTATAGATCAGAATATCGTAAAAAAAAACAAGTACGAAGCGACGCAGGAACGGCCGGAGGACATCGTTCATGAGTGCTTGGAATGTCGCCGGGGCGTTGCACAGCCCAAACGGCATCACCAAGAACTCGTAGAGGCCGTCGTGGGTGCAGAATGCCGTCTTGTGAACATCTTCCGGCCGCATCCGCACATGATGATACCCCGACCGCAAGTCCAGCTTGGACAAGAATCGCGCGCCGTGTAGCTCGTCGAGGAGTTCGTCAACGACGGGGATGGGGAACACATCTTTGACGGTGAGTGCGTTCAGGGCCCGATAGTCGACGCAGAATCGCCATGAGCCGTCCGGTTTCTTGACGAGGATGACCGGCGAAGAGAACGCCGAGTCGCTGCGGCGGACGATGCCCTGCTCGATCATGGCGGCACACTGCCGTTCCAGTTCATCCTTGTGGGCCGTTGGGTATCGATACGGGCGGACTGCCACTGGCGGCGCGCCCGGCTTGAGGACGATGCCGTGGTTGCGGGCGCGCTTGGGGGGCAGTCCCGTGGGCTCGGCGAAGACATCCCCGAAGGAAGCCAACAGCTCATCGAGGAGGGACCCGCTGGCCGTCGCGGCACAGAGACCCAGCGCACTGGGCGTCGACACCCCCTTCCAGCAGAAGTCGCGGCCATGGCGCGTGAAGGACATGGTGCGCTCGGCGAAGTCCCAGACGATCGGTCCCAGGGTGGCCATCCACTGAGTTCCGAGGACCAGATCATACCCTGCAAGGGGCATGACAAAGAGATCGACGTGGAAGTCCGTGCTGTCGATGGTGGCAGGCGTGTTCCGGATCACGCCTGGACAGGCAACCTTCTCGCCATTGGCCACTATCGCCGTGAGGCGTGGTCGGGACTGGACAGGCAGCCCAGTGCGGAACGTTGCCGCCTCAGCGATGAAGTTATGGGTGGAGCCACTGTCGAGGAGCGCAATGAGGGTGGTAGCACCCAGCGCCATGCGGATCTGCATCGTGTCGCAGATCGGCACACCGGTGACCGCGTGCAGGGAGAATACCGGTGTCTCTGTGTCTGGACCCTCATCCGCCGCGGCGTCGTCGGTGTCAGTGATTTCGACGCCGTCGATGTAGAAGAGCCGTCTGCAGACGCGGTTATGCCCACGTGTGTACTTCTCGTCGCAGTTGTAGCAGAGGCCCAGCCGGCGGCGCTCTTCTTGTTCGGCGGTGGACAGACGCTTGATCGGCCGGCCCTCCACGGTGACAGTAGTCGGAGCAGGCGGATTGGTCCCCGACGGTGCGGGCAGCGCCAAGCGCTGCGGAGGCGCGGCCAGCAGGCCCCTTTGCGCTGCTCGCGGGGCAGGCGCCGCGTACTGCTCCCGTAACTCCAGCTTGCGGGCGAGGCTCATAGCACCGGCGAGGGTTTGCGGATTGTGGACCTCGACGTCGAAGCTGAGCGGCGGCTGAAGGCCCTCGGTGAAGAGCTGGATGCGCTGTTCCTCGTCGAGGCGGCCAGCCCGGGGGAGGAGCGCTTGGAAGCTTTTGGAACCGCGGCGGCCGATCCTGATGATGTTCGCCAGTCCCGTTCTTGGAAGATGACGACCACGAGGAACGCTCCTCGCTCAGGCGCTGTATCGCCCGGGAATTGGCGTCGACGGAGGTCTGGAGCGACTTCAGGGTGGCGGCTAACGCGTCGAGGGTGGCCTGGAGGGTGGCGTTGGGCTGTTCACCCATGACGTCGGCTGGAGGTGGAGCTGGATGGCCGGAATCAGCGTGAAGCGGCGGCGGCTGCGAGACTGAGGACGGCGCGGCGGCTGAGGTGGAGCGTGTAGGCGAGGATCGCCGGGATCGTGATACCAGGTTGTCAAGGGCCTCGTGCCCTAGGGTAGCTGGGCCTCGACTACGGAGTTCATAGTCTCCTGCCGTTGTCGTCTAGGGCTGAGGTTTTGCCCCTCGGCTTACTAGGCTTAGTTGGTGGAAGAAGAGAGGAAGATTAGATGAATAATATCTTGTCTATCCTCCAATTCTGGATTACAAGGACTCTTATAGGCTGTAGCCTTGACATACTCTAACAAATCACTCCTAAATTATAGGATCTCTTTCCTTTATTCTATCAACTTCCTAAACCGACACCTGGCTGGCGCCTGGCGTGGTGACCGCGGCTGCCCTGTCGCCCAGACGCGCTGCTGCCCGCCTGGCATCCCGGGCCCTTCTATGCCTGGTATATGTGTGTCCCCACATGACAATAGTATACCTATTTGGTGTCATAAACGCTAATATTTTTACCTATATATTTGGTCAAATTTTAGATACTTCAACAAAGAATGCATCTAGAATTGCATTCTTTTTGGGACGGAGGTAGTAGGTTATACTAAGATAATTCTAGGCCATAGATTTTGATTCAGTTCGCTGCCATTCCAACATTGCATACTATTAAGCCATTCCAAAGTTGCATACTATTGATGGGAGACTATTCTAGTTTCTGAGAAACCTGTAGCATTATCTGGATCTTTCTTTAGAGCCATCAAGTGCAAGCTCCAATACATTTGAATGCAGGATTGATGAATATTTCTACATCATAGCCATCAGAAATGGATTGTTGCATGTTTCCCCCCTAGTTTCATGCTAAGAAGTTATCACTGTTGTAGAAACTAGATGATTACCTTGTGAGTGCATCCAACTTTTTCATTGCTGTAAGTGGGTAATGACGATGCATCCTGTCATTATTATTCCCTTGGTATGCACAATAGATATTTTAAGTTGCATTGAAACTTTGGGAAGCTTCCCTTACAGTTATTGCTAAACCTGGAAAGTCAGAATGCAAATATTTGAGGTTAACTTTTAAAATTCATCGTTCCTAATTTTTATAGCATACTAAGAGCAAGTACAATAATGAGCTTATAGCCAAGCAAATGCTGATGTGGAGGAGAGAAGTGAAGAGAGAGAGGAGAGCTTGGCTCTCATGCTGTCATGCAAGCAACAAGCTGGGCACGGGAGCCTATGCAGTGGTGGACCCAGACATCAAGTGAATGTGGGGAGGATTAGAAAAGAGAAGGTGGGACATGGGTAAAAGAAGCAATAAAAAAGTTTTTTATAGACAATTAAGAAACTATTGTATAGTTTGGCTCTTACAACTTGGCTAATAGCCAAACATTTGGCTTTATTATTGAACTTTCTCTAATGGTCTTGTGATTCTTTTGACTAGGAGTAATCACTATGTCCATCCAAAATTAGATATTGATTCCTTACACAGAATGTTTTCTTGTGAATCCATGACTGAAGCACATGAAAATTAAATCTAACATATAATGTGGGAATATATGAGAATATGTAATGACCATACATGTGAATATTGTTGTTTCGCCTCATCAAAAGTAGTAAAAGGATCAGAGTCAGAAATCAGAAAAGGGTTATTGTTATTGCAGCAGTCATTTGGACAATTTTGTAGATAGATCGTAGGTGCGAAAAAAGAACAAATGATAGTTGTACTAGTAATCATGTAATTGGTTCTTAAATCTTATGCAGGTCATTGCCTAGGAAGGATCTTCAGATATTGGTCGGCCATGGGTGCCCTAGCATGGATGCAAAAGTGGTGTTTTCTGCAAAACTGATAAGAAAACGTGTACATCTTGATGAGGGCGATGTAAGTTGCATATTCTAAACCAAAATTTGTTTCTAAATGCCCGAAAATTCACATGTCATCACTTTGTGTTATGTGTGCTGACTTGTATGATTGTATCTATTCCACCATGTTCTCCAGTTGTCATTGTAGCTATGACTAGTACCAAAGAAACACTCTCCGAGAGTCCATTTTCTTGTTTAATTATTCGATTACAATATATGGTTTTCCTTCTCTCTCTTCCCCCTTTTTGCCGGTGATTCGTGTTGGGTTTCAAGTCTAGACCTCGCTAACCTGCTTAAGACAAAAGGGCTTTGTTGGTTTTTGTTGCTGTTGATATAATACATATATTGAGTTTATGAGGGATATACTTGATGTCTCACATTTGACAATACCATGGCACAACAATTGTGTACTCTGGGAGTAAATAGACTTCAATTCTTTTGGTCCAGCTGCGCTTAGCAAACGCAATTTATTTGCTTGTGCTGATTCCAATATGAAGTAATTGAATCTGGTAGCTCCCCATTTGGGGAAGTCAAATAACTTTAAATTTCATTAGTATATGTTTTTGTTGTGCTAGTATATTTTAACATCAACTCATTCAGTTGCCTATGCCCTGTCCATGTGCTGCTGTGGCATTGATGAAACAGTCAACGTACCCACTAGATAAACTTAAATTGATGAAAACCTGAAATACAATAGCTAATGCCCTATTTGGAAAATGAGATTTTTTTTTCCTGTTCCCTGTGTTTATAGTGTGAAAATGAACTGATTACTGTGATGTTCCTGTGTTTCAATGGGGCCTAAGTCTGAAAATACTTCATTCTTGTGGTTTACTTATAGTCCATCCTTCCTTGGTTGTAGCTTAGCCCCAAGCCACCATGATATGGTCATGGTAACAGGAATCTGAAGTAAGTTTACATGAAATAACAAAAGCTAAATGGTTTTGATACCAAATTGTTATGTCCTGATTCATCTGTCAGATAGTCTATGATCTGTGAGTTAGATGAAACAGAGACAAAAGATAATTTGAACCAGAAAAAGATTGCTTTGATATGAAAAGTTTGGATTATGTTATCTGCTTCTCACATTGAACTGGTACAATATGTGGTAGACTATGTTGGAAATGATGCTAGGCAGGAAGCTGGTTTTGCCTAACGTCCAGTTGACCTAGCGTACAGGATGGGGAGGAGAGGGAGGACGAGGAGGGGTGTTGTGGGTGGCTTAAACATATTGCCTTTGGCTGTACCTCCAGTTTCTTCCTTTTCTTCTTCTGGGACCATACCTGTTCTTAGCTGCTCTCTTCGTGTTTTCTGCCTCCCATTGTCTCTTCCCCGTGGTATTTCTACATCACCCCTTTGCAGACTACCTGTCCTTGTTCCTTATGCTGGCCGCATCATGTTCTCCTCGTCACCCAACTTGATCAAAAGCTTTACAGAAGGGTGCTGCATAGCATTCTGAAGCCAACCTAGGCTGCTGCCAAGAACACATTTGGAACATGGTGTTATACAAACTAAAATTGTTACAGTTAACAGATATGATAGAATGCTTAACCTTTGATGATTTTTCATCCTTGCTTCATAAAATCAAACATTTTCATTTACTTCTAGCTGTACTGCTGTAGTAAGGACATTAGATAATTAATACAATCTAAAGAATGTGTGCTAACGATCTTGGTTTTTTACACCCGGGCATCTGATACCATGTAGAGAATAGTGAAACACCTCACACCCCTTGGGTTGGGTGGCTTCCATATATATAGTCACAAGTGACTTCAGTTATAAGTAAGCTATACACAATTAGACCCCTAGATACATACTCTCTCCGTTCTAAATTATAAGTCGCTTTGACTTTTTTTGTCCATCCGTTTTGTTATGTATCTAGACATATTTTTATATCTAGATGCATAGCAAATGAATGTACCATAAAAGTCAAAGTGACTTATAATTTGGAACGGAGGGAGTACATATCTAACAATGAAAATGGCAGATGTTTGTCTATCCGAATTGCTTTCTACCTTGTCTGGTGTGTGCGTTCTTTTTTGTTTTGATGTCATTTTTACTCTAATGCTTGATTTTTGTTTCATTCTCTCATACTTATTTTATGTAGCCCTTCTCATATAAGTTCATGCATTTATAATGGGGTTTCCATTACAGTTTAGCCTTCTCAAAAAATCTAAATACTTGTGATTTACACAGATTATTTGTATTGTATTTTCTCATGCAGATAAGGCTTATCAGATGTCAAATCTATACTTACTTAGCTAATGCTTTTCTTGCTATTAATCACATTTTTTCCTAGCTAGTGCACTACTTTTTTATACAGCATATGGAGTTCAGTGTAGCATTGTAAGCAATAATCAACGGAGGGTGCGAGTGCCAGGGCATATAATTTATCAGTCCACTCTTAGATGCAATGCCTAAGTGAACATCAAACATTGTATTTTGTTGGAAAATCTGACCCTCTGGTTTCCTCATTTTTGCTTCTAATTTGCAGGTATGTAGTTCTTGTAATTTACGAAATGTATGCACGAGGGGCTATATCCTTACACGTAAAGAAGATGAAGCTCGGACTCTTGATGTTATGCGCATTTTGTTGATCTATGGTTTTGATCACGTAAAGGAAACTGTAGAGAACAAACCTCTGCTCAAATTAAAATCTTTGAAGACTGCTGTTCGGAAATTGATACATGAGATTGTCAAGTTGAGTGCTGTTCCTATTGATCCTAATATCCCGCCCCCTGTAATAAAGAAGCCTCCTCCTAAAGTGAAGCAACCACCTCCACCACCAAAGAAGCGAGTGGGACGTGATGATGTTGAGATGAAGAAAGGAGATTGGCTCTGCCCTAAGTAATTTTGCCACTTGCCTCTGATTTATGGAACCTTGTTGACTTGAGAAATACTATTCTTACTTCCTGGGGTCTATTTTGCAGGTGTGATTTCATGAATTTTGCAAAAAACACTGTTTGCTTGCAGTGTGATGCTAAGCGTCCCAAAAGGCAGCTCCTCCCTGGAGAGTGGGAATGCCCTCGGTAAGCATACTCATAGGAATTCTGTTTTGATGTCTATTTTTTCTGTCCTATTCTGCCGTAATTATATACATGTGGCATCGCACACTGCACTAACCCCTTCACTTTTCATCATGTTTTGTTGCATTCATGTTTGCTACTCACGCATAGTTGTGAAGAAACAAATTGATATCTTGGATCGGTTTATTTCCTGGCGGCTGGTGCATTCTGTAGTAACTTTATTGAATGAACAATGCATATTTGTATTCATGTGTTGTCTGTAATCAAACACAGTTATGATTTATGAACAAGAATGACTTGGTATCTAAGAACTAAGATTTCTAAGAAGGTTCTCCATGCCGTCTTATGTCTCTGAAGAGGTGATCTTGAGGAATATGTAAACGGAAATAGCACACTCATTCCAGTGATTGATGAATCAATTTGTTATGTGCTGTTGTTGTCTTTGCTTACAGGCTGACTCGTGTACGTGAAATTTCAGGTGCAATTTCTTGAACTATAGGCGGAATATGTCATGTTTCCATTGTGAACACGACCGTCCTGCAGATGAGTACTCCAACAGCCAAATGGAAGCAAAGCAATCTGCACTGCAGAAAAGATTGGAAAGACCTCCACGCAAGCCTGATGTTTCTAGTGCATGGAACTTTGATTTTGATGATAACGAGTCAGATGGTGCAGATGTTGCTGCATTTGAGTTTGCTGATTCATCTAAGGCAAGGGAGAGCTCATCAGCAGACAGCGTGTCTTATAGAGGTGCTTCTAAGGGCTCCGAGGATGAGGAATATAGAATGGCTGAAACAATGACTACAGGACGAGGGAATAAGTTCTCAGAAAGAGATAGCTTGCCATCTTCAAGAAATGGTTTTGATGATTTTGATGATGAAGGGGATGACATTGACAGTTATGAACTTGACTTGTCAAAAGGTAGTCAGACAGGTGGAGTGTCAAGGATGAGTTATTCAGATCTTGAGAATGCTTCTGATTCAGAAGGTTTTAGTGAAATTGATAGTAATAGAGAGTCCACATATGACAATAGTAGAGAGTCCAGATATGATAATAGTAGAGAGTCCAGATATGATAATAATAGAGAGTCCAGATATGCAGCCAAGGATGAGGATGAATTTGAGGATCACCCTTCCCTGAGATCGACTCATCTTGCTGATTCCTGGCATAAAACCAGAGGCCGGAGTTGTTCAAATAACTATAGAAGGGCATCTTTCGGATCAGAGAATGATGATGGGATCAATTCTGATCTGGACGAGGACATTGACAAAGGTCTCAGAAATAATGGAAGCCGTAGTCAGGGAAGTCCTAACAGAGCTTCTGTTAGGCACAATGCACTTGCCTACGGTGATGATGAACCATTTTCTGATGATGTGGATTCTGGTATGGTTGATCGGTTCCAGTCTAGGAGGACTAAGTCTTCGGTGAACGTCAAGGATAACTTCCGTGACACAAGACGTAACTTGAATGGAAGACAGTCTAGTGGGGACCGTTATGGTAGGACAGAACGGAATGAGCGGTTCAACGATTTTGATATGCACCGCAGCGGTTCCTTGGATAAGAGTCGCAGAACTAGGGGTAATCAGCTAGGTAGTGGTTCAAGAGGTTTACAAAGAAATGTAAGAAGAAATTGGGATAGAAGTGGTGGCTTTGACGGCAGGCACTCAGGCATTTAAATAGAAGATATATCAATATAACAAGAGTGGTGTCATAACTATCAGAGTGACCAGTGAGCGCCAAAGTTCCTAAGGTTGAAATGAATGGGTTTTTGGATCTGCAGTTTCCTCTACGTCAGTCATCTCTTTGGCTTCACTACCAATTGAAGCATTATAGCATACATATTACAAGAAGGGTCCTGACTTCTGAAAATTCACATGGTACCGTGTATGTCTGTTAAAGTCATGTTGTTTCACTGTTACTTTCTGAGCCAGCAATAAAGTTCAATTTGCCATGTGAAAAATGCAACATAATGGCAGGCATTCACTGTTAATTTATCCTTTTTGTGTTTTGATTCAGTGAATTGGGCTTTACACTTCACAGTACAGTATATAAATGATGGATCTACTTCATGCATATGAGTATGGGTATTTCAATCCAGCTGAGCATGGCTCTTATGATTCCACCATGGGTCCATGACCATCCTCCATGATGCTACTTCACCCTATGACTATGAGGCCATGACGATTCTTCTCATCTGCACTTCCTCTTCAAGCATTGCACCTCTTTGTCTGTTTGGTGCTTTGTTACATGGCGTTACCTGTGGAGCTCTCGAACTGGAGTTGTTATTTGGTTCCCTCATGCCGCACAGGTTTCAATTAGACTACAAGTTAGTCTCCATATATTTTCTAGAGATGCATCAACAGGGTGTACCTCGAATGATGAGAGCAATAAAATTATTCCTCTCCAAACTCAATGTGATACTAAAGTCACGGATGCAAACTTGAATCGGGCTGGTAATTTTTTAATATAAGAAGTGTGAAATGGAGGTTACACGTGTAATGATGTTGACGTGTTCTGGTAGGGTTTTAGATTCTCGTTGAAATGTTTTAGATCTAGATTCTTTGAAAACATTTCTCGAATGAATTAAAAATCACTTTATGGAACTATTTAACTAACTCGCTCGATTCTTGAAACAAGAACCACAATCAGGAGAAACTAGATTTTATGTGTTTATCTTTGAACTAGTACAAAAACAATATTTAGTTCCAAGTGTTTTTTCTTGAAATGTTTCTCTTTGTGGCATTTGGTAACGATTACAGTGATTCTACTAATGTTTCTCTCTTTGTGGCATTTGGTAACAATTGCAATGATTCTGCTAACGTTTCTCTCTTTGTGACAACGATTACAATAATTCTACTAGAAATTTGAAAAGTTCATCGCTGCCAAACGTAAATTGCGTTGATCTTGGGCATTTCTTAGGATTTGTTACATGGGCTACTGGGATCATGCTATGGAGATTATTATTTCGTTTGCATTTTCACCTATGGGTTGGAACCAACTCCTTATCCAATCCAACCCATTTTAAATTAGTTTTTTTTCCAAACCCATCCCACCTCATGTTTTTATTGATAAAAATTTATTAGATACTAATTCAATGGGACATGAAACTATCTTGTGTCAATTACCACGGTAAAATCTACATGTTTGCCCCATATCAGAAGCTGAATTATAGAACTAAAAATTTGCGTTCACACCTTAAAATTTTAACAAAATTGTTAGATATGATTAAAGTGGCATGAAGTTACTCATTGCCAATTAGCTTAGCAAGATTTACTTGTGGATCCTACATAAAAAGTCAGACCCTGAAAATAAAAGCTCGTGTTCAGACCTTAAATTTTAACAAAATTGATTGAAGTTTTGGGGATATAATTCAAAATGACATGAAGTTATTCTCTGCCAATTAACATGGCAAGATCTACTTGTGCCCTCACATCGAAAACCGAGCCATGAAACTAAAAGCTTAGCAATTCTAGCATTTTGTATTTTGATAACTTAGTTCTTAGTCTTTTTGTTAATGATCTAGCAATGACTTTCAGGGTATGGTAAAAGGGGGAGTGGTGAAGTGGTGAACTGAGAGAGACCGAGAGAAGACAGAGCTGAGAGAAAAGTATTGTTGTTTGTCGGTGGGAGAGGAGGGAGAGAAGGGACGGCGTTTGCTTGGTGGATCGGCTACCTGTGGCATGTGGGCCTCGGTCTTATTCGTAAAGAAGAGTTAATAAAAGTGCCCCATTCAAAAATAAAAATTCTTGTCTTCTAAAATTGTTTTCATAGTAGTGCAAGTATGACCATAATTTTTATAGGGGTTTTTCCTTGGATTTCTCTCCTCTTGATTTCAAAAAAACCTTTATGATTTTATTCTAAGGAATAACATTAATATTGTGAACCAATAAAACCATGAGGGGAAAAGGCCCAATGAATTCAAGAAAACCCAAAAAATATATGAAGAAAACGCTCCATCCATTCTAAAACAGAAATCAAGTGTTAGGATGTCATAAAGCTATTATCTGTTGCAAAACATGACTAAAAAAGTCATTTATTTGTGGAAAAATGTGGGAAACAATTCTGCAGCTCATGATAGGAATGAAAGTCGAGAAGCACAGAAGGAGCATAGTTGCGCGCAAGCACTCTGCAATTATGTCCATGCATGTAGTAACTTATACAGAAATGAAAATCAAAGCGAAAAAATGCTAAATTAGGTATGACCATGTTTGAAGCCTCAGCTCTTGCGATTATTATCACGAAGGTACTTTTTGTCAGACCATGTCGGCACATAAATCTTGCAACGTGCAAGTCATCACAGGCTGGCCATGGGATGGGAAGAAAAGCATGCATGCATGCGAACAGCAAGTGAAATAGTAATCTGATGGAAGAACGAACGAACGAAACATGCATGAAGTTTTTTGAGGAACAATTATATATGCATTAATTAAGTGTGTGCCACAAACATTTCTGCAAGCCAGTTAAAAGGGTATATAACTGTGTATATGTTTATACGTACCGATACACAACGTATATAAGAGCATCTGCAGCAGTTCCTCAATAATCTTTCACCAATGTATATGTATTGGGGTAGCCCAATATCATCTTTTGTCAATATTGGAGAGAGTTGCTGCAGCAGTACCCCAATATATCTCCCCCAATACCCATATGCAGGGTGGGTCCTACAAAAGTGTAAGAGAAGATATGGCTGAAAAGTGGTAGTTGAGATGATCCCTATGGTATTGGGAGAGTTGTATCTCCCCCTTTCTTTGAGGGGAGATGAGAGAAATATTGATGGCCACAAAAAAAAATATATTGGAAAACTGCTGGAGCAAAAAAAAAAATATAGCTGTCCCTAATATAACAGTTTTATGGAGATAGAGAGAGATATTAGGGAACCGTTGGAGATACCCTAACAAGGCTCTGTGTTGCGTCGGAGTACTAGCTTAATTAGGATTGTGTTTGGCATGTACTCTGGATCAATATGATCAGTTTGAACCAGCTGGTAGTGGTAGCAGAAAACAGATGGAGCAAACATATATAGCCAGTGAAGAGAAGAACACACACGTGCGTGAGCTGGTTTCCGTGGTGGCCAAGTAGAAGTAGCGAGCTACGACCAGTAACCATACCGTCGAGGAAGCTGCCGGTCCGTCCGATGAGACGGAAACCGGACGCTCTCACCAGCTCCACGAGAAGGCAAGGATCGGACTACTCCCTTTCTCCAAGAAAATAAATAAACGTCTCGTTCTCAATGAGTCAAACTGTCTTAAATTTCATTAATTCTTAAATTTATAAAAATATATAATTCAACATTTGTATCTAAAATATATTTATTATAAAAATATATTTCACTATAAACTTAACGATTATTTTTACACATCATAAATATTAATATATTTTTATATATTTAATTAAAAAAATTAACTCTTAAAAAGTGATATGTATGTTTTTTTACTGACGGAGAGTAGTATGTTCTCGTAGTGTGCTGTCGCATCATCAGTCAGCGCGCAGTTGGCTCCGCTGTCCATCCGTCGCCAACCAAACTAAAGTATTTAGCAGCAGGCATAAAGAAGGTGTCGTTTTTCGCTTGCAAGGTGTCGTAAGTCTGAAAGAAAGATGTTAATTGTCAGTCCTTAATATCGTTTCACTTGCTTGGCGTCTACTTCCTCTGGTTTCTTAAAGAATCGTTTTGAGGTTGTCTTAAGTTAAATATTTTATAAATTTTAACTATAAATAAACTTTTTTGATTGAGTTTGGAAATATAAAAGTGATGTAAATAGATTCATTTTGAAATATAGTTTTATAAAAATATATATAGACTATATTTTATAAATATTTTATAACAAAAAGTAACGGTCAAAGTTGTTTTTTTAGACAGACCATATCGCTGTCTAAAACAACATCTTTTAGGAGACTGGAGGAAGTAACAAAGAAGGCTCTTCTTGGTACATGGATGACGTCCATGCAATTAAAAATGTATTATTTTCTTCTTTTTATTAGTTTTATTTACATGAACGGTTTTATAAACTACCGAAAATGTTTGAGCACAAACTATTTAATCAAACAAACATTACCATCCTTCATTCCTTCCTTTGAATAAGTGTATAGGATAATGCTTACCTTTTTTTAAGCAATATATAGGATAATGTTTACCTACCACAAACGGATTTTGTTTATGCCTCATCGTGCTTTTATTTGGGCTTTGCTGGCTTGCAGTGTCATCTGTGGAGGCCCATGTCTGCCTTTACCAGGTCCTTAACTGCAATATGATGGGCAGGTTGAAAACAGGCCTCCAGCCCAAACACAGAGAGAGTAAAACACCTTGCATGGGGTCGTGTTAAGTGTTAACGTGGAACACTAGGTACACATTTGGGCTGGAGGTCGAAACACAGAGACACTTGGTAGTATGATGGTGGATAAAAACATAGGGTGTGTTTGATTGGATGCACAACCCCTAGCCTGGTTCTCTGGAACCGGTTTTGGGCTGTTTGGTTGCTTGGAAATGGGCTGGGGCCTGGCTAACTTGAGCCAGCCGTACGCCTAGAGCCTGGCCAGGGTCGAACGGATAAATCAGCCATTTCCTGGAGCCAGGCTCGGCCTAGCTCCGCCCGCGCGCAAGGAGGTGGGACCAGGTGCCCTGGGCTAGCCACCGTATAAAAGCGAATGCCCACCGCCCGGCTAGGGTTATGGGTTACTG